ATGATTATGTTGTATTTAGATTTGGAGATCATTTACAATTGCCATTTTAACTTTCCTACTAGTTCCAAAATTGTAGAATTTTGATTGTTTCTGCCAACTGTCTTTCCCTGAGTCATGGCTGACATCTGACTTCAACCTCTATGTCCATTACTTTTTGCTTGGGCATAGCCCAGGTACTGTTAGCTGTTGAGTGTCTGCATGTCATCTTCCCTCAGCGCCAAGTTCTCCTCTGACCAGATGATTGTGAACTTTTAAGTTGATGTCACTCTTTGAACACATTTTCAAACTCTTGTGGGCAGGTCTGTAGTACCGTGGCTAGTGCCTATTCATCCTCCCAGAGCACTTGCTTTTCCTGGTCCCTTCATATGCCTAGTTTTTAGCTGAGTCTCTCTACCCTGGTCATCAAGACTCAGAAGTCTCTGGCCCTATGGGAGCCTCTGTCCTGCTTGGCCCTCAACTCCCACCCTTTCCCTGCCACCTGAGGCTTACTGTGTCCCTGAAATCAGGGTCAGCCTGAAATCCAAAGGTGCCCATTCATCTGGCTTTTCCTGGCTCCTGGCTACACACCAGCTTTCAATTCCTCAGTCTTGGTGTCCTCTGCCCTGCTGGGCTTCTCTCCTCATATCTGCTCTAGGAAACAATGGCAGAGAAGGATATGGTGTCATAGGACTCACTGTTTTCCTGTGTGTGGTCCATAACAAGCTGTTTCCATTGGCTGTGGAGGTTCTGTCTCCTGGCTCTGACCCTAACCATGACTGTTCTAGTTTCCTTTCTGTTACTGTGATAAACACACTCAATTTAGGAGAAGAAAGGGTTTATTTTGTTTCACACTTTCAGGTCATAATTCATCACAAAAGGAAGTTAAGGTAGAAACTTGAAGGCCAGCCTGATTGCTAGTTTACCTCTGAGCAAGAAACTCACTCATAGCCAAGGGAACAGCAGAAACCATGGAAGAATGCTGCTTTCTGGCTTGCTCATTGGCTCATGTTAGCTTTCTTATACAGCTTAGGACTATCTCCCCAGGGAATGGTATTGCCCATAGTGAGCTGAGCCCTCCTGCATCCATTAACAATCAAAACAATCCCTCACAGACATATGTGCAAGTCAGTATGACCTGGGAAATCTCTCAATTGAGACTCCCTTCTCAGATGAATTTAGCCTATGTGCAGTTGGCAATTAATGCTAACCAAGATAATAAACCTTTGTCTAGGATGGAGCAGAAGTCACAGGTGCAGTGTTAGAGCTTAGGCTGGTCACCTCCTTCCTAGGAAACCTCAGGTTGGGCCCCTGGGGTGCTCTGGGGGACCTGCTGCCTGGGGAAGGCAGGCAGTTTACTTATGATGGTTCCTCTTGTGTATGAACTGCTAGGAAATTGTGCATTTCTCAGATGGGCTCTGCTGTGGGGAGGGGAAAACACACACCTGGGCATAGGATCCTATAAAATGATGTTCCAGTGAAGCAGGCCACTGGGAAACTGAGCGAATGGGAATGAGGCTGCCCCTTGAGGTCTCTTTCCCATCCTTTCCCTCAATGTACTGGAGTTTAAGGGTGACAGAGTGGAAGTGAGCAGACAGGGAATCATGTTGTACAGGTCAGTATATGGGTGGAAGCAGCCTAGCGTTTAGTCCTGATAACTTTTTTTTT